ACACGCACAGAGCCGAAACATAAAAAAACAAAAAAAAAAGAAAAAAGAAAAAGGCTGAAGGAAATCTTTTTTTTTTTTTTTTTTTTTTTTTTTTACGGCCTTTTTTTTTTTTACGGCCTTTTTTTTTTTCTTTTTCTCTTTGACTCTTTCAGAGGACCGCATCGCGTTTTGTGTTCTCACGGTTATGGGTGCACTTCGGGAAAACAATGCAGGTTTCGGTGACGAGAAAATGGATCACTCCAATTATTCCATCCGCGTGTCAACGCCGAGGATGCAGCCAGGAGAAGCGGAGCTCATTAATTCCCTCGATCTCAACGGTCCAACCAACGAATTTGCCAGTGAGCAGGTGGAAATGCAAAGCAATGATTCCCAAGACACCTTTAAGAAGCGAATGAGTCGCATAAATGCGATTTTGACGTCGGTGGTTATTTGGTCATTTCTCCTACTCACTCTCTTGTTTTTGGCATCCATTGTGTTCGGCATTGTATACTCCGGGATTCATTATCATGGCCCAGGCTGGCACGATGCTTCTTCGGCGAAATCCGCTTGTGTTTCACCTTATGGCGCCATACTTGGCGTGGCAGGCGATGTGTTTGCGTACAGTAACTGCATCAGAAATTACGATAGTAAAAGCAGGAATAACGTTTCAAGTCAAAACAAAGAAAGCGGATTGGAGTGGGATTGCATGGAGTTTGCAAGGCGGTATTGGATGCTTCGTGGAACTCCCGTGCGTGCAACGTTTGACTCAGTGGTCGGAGCTGCCGACATTTGGGCACTGAACTCCGTGCGGCTTCTTGACGGATCTAAAACGCCGCTGCTTAAATACCCCAACGGCCTCCCACGCCGTGATGGCGGCTCCGCTCCACGTGCCGGCGACCTGCTGATATACCCGCGTCAGCGGAATGATTTTCCGTTTGGGCACGTCGCCGTCGTTGTCGGTGTGACGAAGAACTCTGTTCTCGTTGCAGAGCAGAACTGGGACAACAAGATGTGGCCCGGACCGTATCACAACCACTCCCGCGAAATCCGCATGCTGTACAGCCCCATCCATGACGCCTACAACATTACGGAGGAGGAAAAC